ATAAGACTTGGCATTTATTGCTTCCTTTACCAGGAATAAACTTGCCTTCCTTTTCTACCTGCAAGTCCCTGGTTTACCCTTCAAGATGCTGCTCAAGCAGCATCTGAACAAAGCCAGACTCCCTCCTGTGTGCATCCACCTCCCCTTCCACTTGACTTACTCATAGCACTGTGCACTGGGCAGCAGCCGCTTCCAAAGGTGTCTGCCTCTTCTACTCATGTGGGCTTCTGAGAGCAGGGGCTTTGTGGTCCTCACCTTGATGTTGCTAGGGCCCCACACTGTGTCTGTAGCACTCAATACATGATTGCTAAATAATTACAGGGAAAAGCTCTTATAAAGAACAAGGCAGCTCTTTACGTAATGAAATAGAATGGCACCCAACTTTCAGTAGTAGGTGGGGAAAAAAAGTTACCATACAAGTATCCTTAACATGCTGTCATTGCATGTGTGTGTTTGTGTGTGTGCATTTGATTGCAGAGAATAACTTTAGAAGAATACAAAGGAAACAGGTAACAATGGTTGTCCTCTGGGGACAAGGATAGAAGGGAGACTAATATTTCACTGAATGCCTCTTGAGTTTTGTGCTTTGTGCACGGGTCATCCATCATTAAAATTAATTAATAAATATTCCTCCAAAATATTTTATATGCAAAGAATATAAGAAAGGCAAGATTTATGCCTTCCAAATATTCCTTAATATAGAAAGGCATAATTGTTTTTCTCAAGTAATTTTTTAAAAAAAGTATTTTCTGTGAAGCTTAAGGTAAATCTAGTCTTTCTCTGATTGACAGCAAAGAGAAGCTGCATTCCCTCTAACTCAAGAGCAGCCCAGGTGTAAGAGGGAGATGGGATTGAACAGCATATCATTTTCTAAGGAATAAGAAAACCTCAATCTTTATGGAAAACCACAGATCTTCAGGGAGGTCTGACTAATGAACACTCAGTAGCTGTCAAAGAAGGCAATTGTAACAAAGGACAATCTAAGCTAATTTTGTAACTGTTTAGAGAACAACGTTCTTCCGCCAGACCTCTGGCTAGGCTCTCCAAATTCCTCACCTCATTAAAATATTCTTTTCTATAAGCCTAATTGTCAGAACTGAAAGAACCCTTATTACAGACCTGGGTTCCTATGGCAACAGTAAATAAATGCCAAATTATCTAAAGCATTGAGAAAAATAATATACACTAATAATAGGTAACCCTGTGATTCCTTTTAATAAGACAGCTAATTGAGAGCCAGCTATTCCTACATGTTGGAACAAGAATGGCTGTGGAGATCTTCAGACTTTTTAAAACCCAGTAAAATGTCCTCTATTAAAGTCACTGAAATGATACTGAGTCAAAAATATGTTCATGGCTACTTTAGGGACATCATCGTGATGTTCTAAGCATATCTGCTAGTGGAAGAAAAAATCATTTTTCCTTTTTACATTAAATACTCAAAGTCTGTCTCTTATATTCTCTCTGTGTGTGTGTGTGTGTGTGTGTGTGTGTGTGTCTTTATTCTTGCTTAAGTGCCTGCTGAAATCATGGCAGGGTGAGGTTGGCCCCAGGCCATTGCCTGCACCGTGGCTTCACAAGCCAGCCGGAAAACACAGGTTGCTCTCCCCATTCTACCGCATCTGTCACATTCCTCTCCACAGAATGAAGGATAAACTCCAAACACGAGGACCCTGAGATGGGACCTTTCCATTTCATATTTTCTGAACATAAGTTCTTTTCCAAAATCACCTCTTTCCTTGACTTATGGTGGCAAGTGACATAACCCTTTGTAGTAGTCAGCTCAGGCTGCCATAACAAAACACCAGCTACTGGGGCTTAAACAACAGAAATTTATTTTCTCACAGTTCTGGAGGCTGGAGGTCCAAGATCAAGGTGCTGGTTTCTCCTGAGGCCTCTCTCCTTGGCTTTCGGGGAACCATCTTCTCCCTGCGTCTTCACGTGTTCTTCCTTCTGTACCTGTTGGTGTCCTACTCTCTTCTTAGAATGACGCAGCCATGTTAGATGAGGGCCCACCCTAATGATGTCATTTTAGCTTACTTACCTCTATGAAGACCCTATCTCCAAATCCAGCCACATCATGAGGTACTGGTGGTTAAGACTTCGACTTATGAATTGGGGGGCGGTGGTGGGGGCACAATTCAACCCAAACAGCCTTTCTACTTTCTCTGCACGGTGAGCAGACATTGTATTTACCAGCCCAGGTCACTGGAACCCAGGCTCCATCACTGCAAGATCAACTATCCAATTATCTAATTCTATTTAGATAAGAGGCAATAATGATTATCCCCTAGGTAACAAAGAAAAATGAAGAATTCTCATTCAGATGTCCCATTTTAATACTTATGTGTCAGTTAAATACATGAAAATGTAGTTATAGACAACCCAACAGCAATAAGAGACTCAGGTATAAGTTATGGAGGGCGTGATTAATTTTGAGGGTATAAGGAAAGTATCTTAGAGAAGATGTGTGATTCTTGACCTGGTTCCTGGGCATAGAAGGGGCAGAAGGAGAGAGGGCATTTCCGGAAAAAGAGAGTAGCATTTAATTCATTGTACTAAGCTGGTTGTTGTGTCTGTCAGGAGACCCTGGAGGCTTGGGATTGCTATATTGAATCCACAGTGCCTGACCCAGGGTGAGATTAACTTAACGTGATACATTAATGTCATGCACTATTTTGACTATCTAGGAAGAAACAGCTTAAAGGGAATAAGTGGCCGGGTGCAGTGGCTCACGCCTGTAATCCAGCACTTTGGGAGGCCGAGGTGGATGGATCACCAGAGGTCAGGAGTTTGAGACCAACCTGACCAATATGGTGAAACGCTGTCTCTACTAAAAGTACAAAAATTATCTGGGCATGGTGGCATGCACCTGTAGTCCCAGCTACTTGGGAGGCTGAGACAGGAGAATTGCTTGAACCCAGGAGGTAGAGGTTGCAGTGAGCACTCCAACCTGGGCGACAGAGCGAGACTCCGTCTCAAAAAAAGGGAGTAAGCAATGTAGCCTGGAACACTGAGGGAAGTCAGGGCCAGCCAAATTTGACAGTAGACTTGATAACTGAAACTGGAATGGTGGATGAGTTATTGAAGGCAAGGATATACTGAGCAAGTCACTGCCCTGTTTAAAACCCTGAATTGGTTTCTCAGTGCTTTTAGAATAAAGTTGGCCATTTTTTTTCAAGTTTTATTTTATTTTTAAAGATGGGGGCTCAAATTTCTGGCCTCAAGCAATCCTCCTGCCTCAGCCTCTCAAGTAGCTGGGATTACAGGTGCAAGTCACCATGCCTGGCTCAAATTTTATTTTTAATTGTGGTTACATACACTTAACACTAACCATTTTAAAGTGTGTAATTCAGGAATGTTAAGTATATGCATGTTATTGTGCAAGAGATCTTTAGAATTTTTTCATTTTGCAAAATAAAACTCTATGCCCATTAAACACTAATTGCCCCTCCTTCCTCCCAGCCCTTAGCAACTACCTTTCTACTTTCTGTTTCTATCATTTTAACTCCTTTAGATACCTCATACGAGTGGAGCCACAGTATTTGTACTTTTATTAATTTTTATCAGTTAGCACAATATTCTTGAGGTTCATCTGTTTTGTAGCATGTGACAGGTTCTCCTTTTTAAGGCTGCATAATATTCCACTGTATGTATAGCTCACATTTTGTTTATCCATTCACCTGTCAATGGACAATTGGATTGTTTCCACCTCTTGGCTATTATGAATAATGCTGCAATGAACATGGATCTCTTTGAGATCCTGCTTTGAATCCTTTTGGATATATACCCGGAAGTGGAATTGTACTACTTTTTAACTTTTTTGAGGAAGCTTCATGCTGGTTTCCATAGCGGCTGCATCATTTTACACAGAATAAGGGTCTATAGTGTTTTTTTGTCTTGTCTTGTTTGGTTTGTTTGGTTTGGTTTTTTGAGACAGGGGCTCCACCCAGGCTGGGGTGCAGTGGCATCATGATAGCCCACTGTAACTTCAATTTCCTGAGCTCAAGTGATCCTCCTGCCTTGGCCTCCCTAGTAGTTAGGACTACAGGTACATGCCATCATGCCTAGCTAATCTGTTAATTTTTGTAGAGACAGAGTCTCACTGTGTTGTCCAGGCTGCTCTTGAACTCCTGACCTCAAGCAATCATTCCACCTTGGCTTCCAAAGTGCTGGAATTACAGGCATGAGCCACCGAAGTCTATCTTTTTTTTTTTTTTTTCAAGATGGAGTTGCACTCTTGACGTAATCTCAGCTCACTGCAACTTCTGCCTCCCAGGTTGAAGCGATTCTCCTGCCTCAGCCTCCCTAGTAGCTGGGATTACAGGCGCCAGCCACCATGCCCAGCTAATTTTTGTATTTTTAGAAGAGATGGGGTTTCACCGTGTTGGCCAGGTTGGTCTCAAACTCCTGACCTCAGGTGATCCGCTCACCTCAGCCTCCCAAAGTGCTGGGGTTACAGGTGTGAGCCACCACGCCCAGGCCATCATTTTTAACATGGCTTTCAAGGACCTGAATGACTGGAAGCTCCCAGAGGCCAGTAGACCCACACATTGGTCATTTCTAACCATGAACCACTGGCTCAAGAAAACCACACAGCCAAGCCCAACATAAATGGGGCAGGGAAACATATTCTTCCCATGGAGCACAGGGCAGGGGAAAGAGTGAGTATTTGAATAGAATCTGACCTATACTTTCTCCTCCTACCCTTTACTCTCCCAAATTTGCCTCACTACTCCTACTCATCATAAACATCTCAACTTAAACATCGCTTTCCCAGAAGACCTTCTCCCCTTCCCACATGAATTTGGCTCCCACTATTTGCCTCAACATGTATTTTTGCTTTTATGAAACTTAATGTGTTGATAGTTATTTATATAATTTCTCTATCTCTTCCAATATCAACGACTGTTGTATGTAAAAATAGTGATTTATAACAATAATCATGTTTTAGTGGCTAAAAACAACTACTGTGTATTCTTTCTCGTTATTTTTGTGGGCTGGATGGGCACTTCTTCAGCTTGTCTTACCTGGGCTTACTCATGTAATTGCAGTCAGATGATGGCAAGAACAGCTGGATGGTCCAAGCTGGCCTCACTCAAATGATTGGCAGTCAGTGCTGATTGATGGCTGGGATGCATTAGCTCTCCTTCTCCATGCCCACTTATCCTCCAGGAGGTTATAGCAACATCCATCCCTACATGGTGGTCTCAGGGCAGTGTTTCAAGAAAGCATAAGTAGAAACTGTAAGTCTAGACTTGAAAGTTGTTCAACATCACTTCTGCCACATTCTATTGGTCACATCAAGTCACAAGGCCAACCTAGCTTAGGAAGTGAAGAAAGAGATTAAACCCCTTACTGGGAAAGACAGCAAAATCATACTGTAAAGGGCATGCTTAAGGAATGGGCGGAATTGTTCCTCCCAACACATATGTTGAAGTCCTAACTTTTGGTGCCTCCGTATGTGACTGTATTTGGAGATAGGGTCTTTGAAGAGGTAAATAGGTTCAAAATGAGCCTGTTAGAGTGGGCATAATCCAACATGACTGGTATCCTTATAAGAAGAGGAGATGAGGTTGCTGACAGGTACAGAGGGAAGATGATGTGAAGACAAAGGAGAGGATGGCCATCTCTAATCCTCAGAAAAGAGGCTCCAGAAGAAACCAGCCCTTCAAACACCTTGATCTTGGACTTCTAACCTCCAGGATTGTGAGCAAATAGGTTTCTGTTGTTTAAGTTATGCAGTTTGTGGTATTTTGTCACAGCAACCTTAGCAAACTAATACACTTACAGAGGCAGGAGGAATTATCTCAAACGCCTTTGCAAACAATCCGCCACACCCCTAAGACCTTAAACTCCTTGTGGTTTGGGGTTCTGTTTTTCTTGTACATCACTGGCATTCAGCAAATATTGCCCATTATTAGGCCTTTTTTTTAAGGCAAGAGAAGAAAGAGAAGCCAGAGAAGATGGTAAAGGATCACAGAATTATGAGCGAACCAAAAGAATGTTTGTGTCGTGAACACCAAAGGAAGAGAGAATCTTGGGAATAGATCTTTAGATACCTCAAGGAGGACAGAAACTGAGAAATGGCCACTGGATTTGACAATTATTAATTGACACACCAAACAATTCACAACATGGGAAAGACTGGGATTGGCTGAAGGGAAGAAGAGTGTCAACCAAGGGGCACTTTAAATTCTTACCACATTTTACCATAAGAATATAGACCTATATGTAAACTTTTTAAACATGTCTTTTTTTTTTTTTTTTTTTGAGATGGAGTCTTGCTCTGTCATCCAGGCTGGAGTGCAGTGGCACGATCTTGGCTCACTGGAACCTCCACCTCCCAGGTTCATGGGATTCTCTTGCCTCAGCTTCCCGAGTAGCTGGGACTACAGGCACACACCACCACGCCCAGCTGATTTTTGTATTTTAGTAGAGATGGGGTTTCACCATGTTGGCCTGGCTGGTCTCAAACTGCTGACCTCAGGTGATCTGCCCCCTTGGCCTCCCAAAGTGCTGGGATTACAGGTGTGAACCACTGTGCCCGGCCACATGTCATATATTTAAAGACAGTTGAAATTCTCTCTGGGCCCACCTATCCTACCTTCTGTAAGTGCCCACTTCTAATAGTTTACTGTACACCCTCATACATTGCTGGGTAGTACAAAATGGTACAACCCCTTTGGAGGGCAATTTGGCAAAAGCCATCAAATTACAACTGTAATAAATTTTATGTTAATAAAGTTGTTTTTAAAAACTTCAAATGTATAAACTCTTTAGTTATACTCACATACATGCAAAATGACACTATGTATAAGAATATTCACTGCAGCTTTATTTGTTATAGGAAATGTTTGGAAATAATCCGAATGTCTTCCAATAAAGAATGGTTAAATAAACTGTGCTACAGCCACACAATGAAATCTCGTGCTGCTTTTAAAAAAAAAAAAAAAAAAGGAAAATTTAAAAAAAAAAAGAATGAGGAAGCTCTCCTTGTACTGATATGGAAAGATTTCCAAGATAGATTAAGAGAAAAAAACAAGGCACAGAGCAGTTATATGCTCCGTTTATGTAAGCAAGAAGGTAAAAGAAGGAAATATATTTAATTTGCTTATATTTCCGTAAAGAATCTCTGGAATGATAAGAAACAAATAAAATTGATTATCTAGAGAAAAGGGAGTAGATAGGGACAGGTATGGGATTATTCTAGATTATGTTCTCATTTACATACATAAGCTGATTAGATTCATATAGCAAATCTGAGGCTATTATTATTATCCCCGTTTTACAGATGAAAATTAGAAACCGCTAATTTTCACTGCCCCAGTTTACCAATTTAGACAGCTGGTACACATGGAGTCTGATTCTAGCCTACCTCTGCCTGACTAGAGTTCATGCTGCAGCATCACTCGAACTGTGGCCTGAGCAAACACAAACCCCTGGTCTTCAGATTTATGATCTAAAGTAAATAACATCACAGGCAGAATAATGAAAAGTCATAGCCAAACATATTTTAAGGTGTTTATCAAATCAGGGAGCTGGAGATTGGAAGATATTTTTTATTAAGGGAGCTGCTTTTACTAGTGGTTTGTGTTTGTTTCTTTCTTGGTTTCCTGGCTTTTCAGATGTCTGTTTTGGAAGAAATCAGTGGAGGAGGGGAGGGAAAGATGATCTACTTTGTGTGTATATACAGTTCCCTTAGACAAGTCATTTTTTATAGAGGTTTTTGAAGTTTACAGTATACTGCTGTTTAGCTCCAGGACATGATGTCCAAGTAAGTGACTGGAAGTAGAGGGAGGAAAATAAAAGGTTAAGAAAAGTCCCTTCACAAATAAGCCTTCTGCTGTCACTGCTGTCAGGTCTCCTGCATAGGAACGGCTTATTGTCTGAGCATAAATGGGGAAACCTGGAGTTATCTATCTGTGAGGAAGCTTTGGCACCCAGTTAAATTTCACTCTTTCAAACTTCCCTTGTGTGTCCTAGAGCTTTTCTTTACCAGTTGTCATAAGGAAGTCTCATTTGTCAAGCTGACCAACTGTCCATTTTTTCCCTGTCATGAGGAAATCCTTTCTTAAGACAGATTTATTTTCTAAATGGAAATTTCCAGGCCTTGAATGCAGTAGCGGTTGCTCTGGGCAGTCCAGGTCCTAAAGTTCAGTTTTTCAACCACGTTTCCATGGCTGTTACTCACACACAAGACATGAGTGGTCCTTCAGAGGGGTTCCAGTTAGAGTTTTTGGGTGACAAGGATTTATTTTTATTTTTTATTTTTGGAAAGGTTTAATGAAAAGAGAGCAGGGAACTCAAGAACCCATCAGAGGAAGTGGAGTGTTCTCCCCTAGAATTACTCTCCTTTTGATTTCAGCTTTTCAGATGTAAATGGCACTCGTTTGCCATGATGTCAATTTGGTCCCAAACCCACAAGTCTTTTCCCAAATGGCAAAAATAGAGAAATAGAGAATGGTTGATTCTCTCCAAGGCTGGTGATTGCTGTCCCACCACAGTGACCTACAATGACAGGACCACACAAAATTGTTGCCCTAATCCAAACCACCCTATGAATGTGTTGTACTTGTCTTTCAGCAAAGTAGACCTCTCAGCTTGCTCCACAGTCACTCAGGACTCCCGGCATGACTAGACCAAGTCATCATTTTGTTCTGCAGGCCAACCCTCTCCTTGACTCATAACAACTAATAGAAGAGTGAATCTTAGCCACAACACTGATGAAGTTTTTTACGTTAAAACTTTTGGCCAGGCGTGGTGGCTCACACCTGTAATCCCAGCATTCTGAGAAGCCAAGGCAGGCAGATTGCATGAGCCCAGCAGTTCAAGACCACCCTGGGCAACACAGTGAGAGCCTATCTCTACAAAATAATAAAATAACAAATTATTTGGGAGATGGTGCGCACCTGTAGTCCCAGCTACTCAGGAGGCTGATGTGGGAGGATCGCTTGAGTACAGGAGGTTGAGGCTGCAGTGAGCCATGATCATGCTACTGCACTCCAGCTTGGGTAACAGAGAGAGACCATTGTGATGTGCAACACGTGAAAGAGAATTATCACTCTCTTAGCAAAGGAATAGGTAAAATCCCCAAAAGCCCAAGCCACTGTCAACATTAAAATAAGAATCTGAATTTATTGGCTGGTAAAAGTTTATTGACTGAGTGAAAGTGCCTCATCATTTTCAGTCAGACCCCTCGTTCATTAGTTTGACCATTGATTCATTATTCGCTCATTCACATTTATTGAGTCAGGCATTGTACTAGGCACTGGGATTATAAAAGAGAACAAGATAAAAATAATCCCTGAACTCAAGGATCTTACAAGCCAGCCATTTGTTCCCTCCCCTCAACACTCTCACCAACTTTAAACTGCTCCTCCTCCCTGATCTTCATCCACAGAGCTGTAAGCAGAAGTACAATTCTGGTCTATAGAAATGCTAACTGTCACTGGAAAAATTCCTTCAGTATATCAGCCTCGAATTTAAGGAATAATTAAGTCTAAAAATAACATTCATTGTATAGTTTTCAAGTGGTTTTCTTATTTGTAAAAACAATTCATTTGAGCCTCACAACATATCTGGGCTGGGTAGAAATCACTGTTTCATTTTTTTCTCTTTTTTTTGAAAAACTTTATCGAGATATAATTCACATATCATACAATTCACTCATTTAAAATGTACAATTAAATGGTTTTCAGTATATGCAGAGTTTTAAATACAACCATCAGCAAAATCAATTTTGGAACATTTCATCAACCCAGAAAGAAACATGTACCCATTAGCTAACCTACTTTATGTCCTTAGATTTAGCTATTCTGTACATTTCACGTAAGTGAAATCATGAAATGCATGGTCTTTGTGTCTGGCTTCTTTCACTTAGCATCATATGTTTAAGGCACAGCCACGTTGTAGCACATGTCCATACTTCATTCCTTCTTATGGCTGAACAATATTCCCTTCTGTGGATATATCATATTTTGTTTATCCATTCATCAGTAGATGGTGTATTTAATTTTATAAGTGAAGAAACTAAAGTAATTAAGTGCTTGGGTTGGGACCATTCAAAGCCAGGTCCCCTGGCTCCCAATCAGGGCTCATTCTATTAAATCTACTAGGTCCCATAATTTTAAAGTGCAAGTTCATTCCCACTGTCAAAATACATTTGCCTACAACATTTTTAAATAGCGAATGAAACTAAGAAATGCAAATGCAGTGCAGACTAAGCTGCTTTCTTGGTTTGCTGTTGTTATTTGAGAATTTTTCCCACTTTTGAGGGAAAAAAAAGAATTTCAAGAGAGAAAAATAATTCAATTAAAAA